AGTCATTATGTGTGCGGATCAGTAACTTCATGAAGTCTGGCTCGTTTTCCGGGGTGACGTATCCGAGGCGAATGAGAAGCTCAATGATGACTGTCAAGAAGATGAGGCGGTGAAAATACAGTTAGATTGATAAGTACTCACCCACGGCGCAGTTGGGCTTGAAAAGACCTTGTCGCAACTTTCTCAGAACAAGCTCAAGGTCCATGAGCTATTCACGTCAGCCATTGGTTGTCCTACAAGGCGGCATGATCAATTACCTCGAAAGATTCAACCTCGCCGTCTGATGGCTTCGGGACAAAGGCCTCCGGAGTGGGATGATTAGACGGAATCAAGAGATCATAGACATATCTGCAAACATGAGTAAACGGTAAGCGCACCCAGCTGTACGTACTCGATTTCGGGCTGTAGCCATCCTTGAGAAGTCCTAGAAACTTTGATGAGTTCAGGAAGGAACAGAAGACGACACACCGACCTGAAGAAGTAACTGACTGCGCCAGTCGACCGAATATGTTTTCGAGCAATGTCTTCTTCTATGCTGGCTTCCTCCATGCATTCCTTGACCAGAGACTCGAAGGCTGTCATACCACTGGGTATACCTCCAGCAACGCTGTTATCAAGGAAACCCGGCCAGCTGGAGGAGTTCTGATCAGCTACTTGTACGACATGGGCTGACGAATGCGTATTGCACTCACGTTTGTTTCGTACGCGCCCTCGTCGGAATCCACATCCTCAGGCCGTTCTCATCATGCTCAAACGCCGACATATGGACTCCGTACGTGATGACTCCGAAAAGGGCACACGCCGATCGCTCCATCTCGAACGCGAAGTTGGAAATATCATCGTTCGTTGACGACGGGTATTCGTGCGCGCCAAATGGATCTTTCCAGATAGCATACAACTCGGAACGCCACTTTCTCGGCCCACACACATCGGGGAATAGCTCCTCGTCGCGCCACCGTTCGCAGAGCTCCCGCATGATCGCACTCCTCTTCGCGGGCGAATCGATGTCGGCATGAAAGCTCACGCGGGTTTCCTGTATGTCCCATGCATATATGCTCTCCAGAGCGAGTTTCGACACGATGATTGGGCGTAAGAGTCCAACGACCGGGCTGCCCGCTGTCTGGGAGAGACAAAAGGGAACCAGTTTCTCTTCATCGAAAGGAGACGGCGAGGTGGAGTCCTTTGGAGGTCGGGCATTGTCGCAGAGGGCGACGAGATCCAGCAAGGAAAGGTTCGCCATCTATATCTGATCAATGTTGTCGATGACCAAGGTTTGTTTACAACCACCATGATCAACAGCGGTCGACCTTCCGGCCAGCGTTGTGGTATGTGCAATTTTCCATGGCGTTTGACACTTCAACTGAGCATAGTCTTTGTTCTTCTTTTGAATTATACAGGGCTCCGCTCCAACACGCAGGGATGAGTAGCCCTCCAACAAGTCGCCCCCGACGTCTCCTCCGTTCAACTACCAAGTCCTTCGCTGTCGTATCACACATTGTCACGGATAAATTGCATTTTTATTTAACATCCTCTGAACCTCTTGGCTACACAAGCGGAGGTCATCAACCCCGGCATATCAGAAAGGCGAAAGAATCCTAAGAACAGGACGCAATACCACAAGCGTTCTCATATATCAAGGTGATCATTGGACATTACCTCGCTCATACATCCAGAAAGCCGCGTGTGGAAATACCTCATCAACCGGCGGTCCCTTTCCTTCCACTCTATGTACGCGCAAACCTACGACAGACAGGAACGCTCCGTATCCCAATACAGACATGCCATTATGCTCGCTAAATGGGCTTCACTCCTCCCTATGGACGTTCCTAGCAATGCATGCAATGACGACTATACTCAATGGGCAAGTTTTGTGGCGGTACAAATGACCGTACCTGCGAATCGTGCACCACCTACGGACTGGCGAGCGTTGTTGATACAGTTCACGGTCTCCCTAGCTTGACCTGGAGCGCACTGAATCAGAAATCCAGCTTCTGTTTCTAAATTCGGGCACTCGTTGGCCAACATGCATTCATTCGTTCGAGGCGGCATGATTATCGTCGAAATGAAAGGTAAAGTTTGTGGATACAGCCACTCCCGAACCGGAAGCAAGATTTCACTTGTGACAATCCTAGCACAATGAATGAATGAATTGGTGTCTTTAACAGTGGGTTTTTCGTGGCGCCGCCACGCACAGTTGCACGGAGAATAGCAAGACTTGTTCTCCTTCAGGGTGCGTCTTTCGAGTTATTTTTATGGTGACGAGAACACTGACAGCGCCCGTCGTGTTTAGGTATGCGTCACTGCGCGAGGGACGGGTGCCTGTAGGTCCTTGTTCCGGATTTGGGCAATGCATTGTCTACCCCCGCCCTCGATGTCCGAGTAGGGTGCTCGTGAATTCTTGCTCTTCTTCCCGTCATGTTGGTGATGCGAAAGTAAGTTCTCCGTCCGCTAGGAACACGGTGCCAACGCTTTGGGGCGTACGCAAAGCTATTCTTGTGGCTCCTTGGGCCTTGACTGTCTCAGCTCCTTCTACAATCTCGATTTCCTTGCCACTTTTCAGGACAATAATTCCGCTTCGAGAGTTGCCCGGTTACTTGCGACGAGCTGGCTCTGGCAGTGCTCTGATTAGCCTCCGCGGGTGTATACGCCCTGGAACATTGTGACTGAATTGGGGTATGCCATCGCGACAACCTCGGTTTCGAGGACCCTACAATTCTTCCCGTTATGGAAGGTCCCTTGTGCCGTCCGTGCCTCTGTCTGCAACACAAACGCTCGCCCATTTTCGGACAGTCCTTTAAGAGAGGCCACGCTGATGAGAGTACTTAATGCTCTACCTTCTCCCCTTTGGTCGACAACATTAAGACCTCGTCCGCTCTCGCAATTCCAATATGCAGTGCATTTGTTCATCCTGGTGGTTTCTTCGCGTAGGGAACTTTCCATTGATTGTGGGAAAGGCGTTCTGACTGGTTTTTGTAGTGTGCATATTACAGGCTGCAATCGCTGCGCCCATTCCTGGTGCGACTGTCAATGAAGATGTCGCTGTACGTCAAGCTTCTTATTCTTTTTACGCGTCATTGACATTATTGCGCAGGTCCGGGAGCCTGAGCCTACACCTGGCTGTGCTGGGTTCGGAATGCACTCCTGTTACAAGTCATGAGGGACAACTTGGTAGGTGTCCTTCTACGTCGTAGCGGCCTGTCATTTATTCATATTTCTGCAGTTCCCGTTGTCGCCAAAATATGATATAGGACATGCTCAATCATGCACTCGCTCTTTACTCTCCACCCGCCTTCCTTTCACTGTCATTCTTTGGGACGCGTTTGACCTTACGGGCAGCGCTCTCCCGTCCACTCTTTTCCATCGCATTTGGGTCCATGGCTGTTAGAGGGGCCGTGTTGACATTGTATCGCTAGATTTTACTCTCCGTTGAATTATTCGCTCTGTTATTAGTATTGCTGTGTGTATGTATTTCTACTGGTACTATGGATGTAATCGGACTCTTTGGAATTTTACTGTAACTGCTAAGAATAAGGAGAGCGTGGGAAGGGAAACGACATCATCATTACACGTCGCGCATTCCAATTTGGCAGTTGCTTTAATCCATCTCTGTGCAGCAATGGCTCCGAAATCTGCTCCTTCAAAGCCTGCGCCAAAGCCCGCGCAGGCTGGCACCAGTAATCCCGTCCTTTCCCTCTGGAAATCGTACAACGAGCAGACCTCCGACCGGCTGCGCTTCATCGACGCCTTCCTCGTCTTCCTCATGCTCACCGGCGTCGTGCAGTTCGTCTACTGCGTACTCGTAACCAACTTTCCTTTCAACGCTTTCCTTGCTGGGTACGTCGACGCGTTCATTCACGGTGGATCTATGCTTAGCTGGCTGCAGTTTCTCAAGCACCGTGGGCCAGTTCGTTCTGACTGCGTCCTTGCGGGCCCAGGTCAACCCCGAAAACAAAAACGAGTTCAAAGAGGTGTCTCCGGAGCGGTGCGTTGAGTGGCATTCTTGTTTACATCATACTGATATTGTACAGGGCATTCGCGGATTTCGCTTTCGGTTCAATAGTCCTTCACTTTTTCGTCTTCAATTTCTTGGGATGATGTGTATTTCTATCATGCTCAATATAAAGGACATTTATAATCTGTACGTTCCGTCGACCAGTTGCTAGGATCAGACAGCGGTGTCCCTCTTTCCCATGTCAATTTCACGCCGGGCGTTCGACCTAAGTGCTATATGACCACGGCCTTAGACACTATGCAATATATTCATTCGACACCAGGAAAATGCGATAAATATTCTGGGATTTCCGTGTGTTACAAGATGAGGAGAAGAGGGAGGAGGGTCTAACATATTCCGAGAGTTAGGCTGGCGCTGGGGTAGGTACGTTGACAACTGACATACGAAACAGAGTAGAGTTAGCGCGTTCGCTCAAAGGACGCAGAGCGCTTGGGTGAAAGTCAGCCAACAGTAAGCTGAACCTCGAAATAACACACCCCGAATATCACCACTGCAAAATCGAATGCGTATTCGCCTTGAGTTTGTTTAACAGTCAGTCATCCACCATGTCGTAGGGCGCACCAAATTCCAGATAGGATCTTAATAACTCTGAGATGATGATTAAAATACAATGCAGACACCGGAGCGGGAAGGCACGTACGTCGTATATCCTTGTTAGGGACTTGAGCAAGGGCGGGTCTATTCACAATTAGCAAGTACACCCTCAGACGGTGGCACTGGTAGCTTACGTTAAGCCAGTGGTCCGCTTCACGCCAGCGAGGAAGGCGCTGATTATTAAAGCGTCAATGCTAAGATGGACTAGATTCATAGTAAGCCTTCAAGTCGCTGTTGCTTGAGCCATTGCGCACTGAGCTTGCCAAACATATTGTGTCGCTTGACGATGATGAGAGAGCGGTCGAAGTGATGGCTTCGGTATGACGTAACCGACATGACTGCTGTTGTGAACCTAGTCAGCAGCTCTGGTATGATGATAGTCTCTCCATTCCACGGCGCTATGGTGTAGTGGCAGCACTTGGGATTTTGATCATTCGAATCTTCCCACAACCCAGGTTCGAACCCTGGTAGTGCCTTGATTGAGACGAGTCTTACTGCTCCCATGTTTTTGACGCCATGCCATGGTTATTGAATGATTTTTCTATAGAACAGTGGCTACTAGGGTGGCGCAGTAAACCTCCCGGGGGTGTTACTAACGGTATCGATACCAGCCCCCCCAGGAGGCTCAGGTTTTGAAACCGTTAGTAGCCTGGCGAGGGCGGCTCTAGTAGGTGCGAATTACAAAAACAACTTGTTTAAAGTTGCGCCACGCTGATCCTCGTGACCTCGTCTGAACAATCGACAACTTGCTGGCCATACGAATGGACGGGACAATGCAAGAAATGGATTTGCAACAGTTACACAGATTTTCACAAAACAGACAACACTATCAGATATTTAGTAGAACTGGCCGCGCGGAGCAGGCACAGGGACGTCAACATCAGGATGCTTCTCTTTAATCCAGCGAGTGAGATCATCCACTGTGGCTGCAGCTTCTGCATCTACCCAACCATACCCCTCAAAGTCGCGTAGGACCACTTCGCACCAATGCCGACAGCCGCTCCCGGATTCCAAATCCAAGCGGTAGCGGTCACGATGTCTCCCAAGCAAAGCCTCAATTGCTTCATAAACAGTGAACTCCCGATGTACTGTGATTGTGAGCAGATTGAGCTTGCTCGGCGAGGTTGAGAATGGATATTTATGATAAATGAGTTCGAGTTTTGTTCTTCCGTCATCAAAGTCCTCTCCAGAGGAGTTCAGCATAATTGAGGACTCCCCGCCCTCCAACTGCAAGTAAAGGCGAAAGTGGGCAACCACCGTCACGGCTCCCGTCTTTATGTCCTCCATCGCTGCGCGCGCCGCGTGGACAGTGACACAGTTGACGGTCTTGTCGAGCTTATCAGCCGGAATCCTGACTTTTGTAGTTTCCGCTGCGGGAACTAGTATGAAAATAACGACAAGCTTGGTCGAACGAAAACACCCACCGTGCTGTTTAGTGTTCCAGATCGGAAGGAAGATTGCATCTCTTTCGGTACGGGTAGCAGGAGGGGTGCTCATAACTGGGATATGCTGGAAGGTAGGCTACACGATCCTAGAACGAACGAGGGCTACGATGCAGAAGTGGGGCGTGATTGCGACGAGCAGCACTAGGGTCTTAAAGCCGAAGTGGCTGCAAAGGGCATAGAAATCTGATGTTTGCTCAAATGTAGCCGGCATCACGAGGGTTTGGCATCCTGAGAACAAATAATCAGGACCAGTAAGAAGCCTACGATTAATCAAAAGGAAAGTGTCGCAGCCTAATCAACAGTTGCGTTTATCGATCCCATCGTGCTATTCCAGTATGAAATAAGATGCGACTGGAAGGGCTTGGGCGATAGGCATGCCGTCAACACGTACTAAAGACGGGAAGCAACTGCGGTTGGTAGGCGGCCTGGTTAGACGAGGGTTTGGCATCCTGAGCCTGCGATTACACGGCGATGTACTCGTGTTCCAGCCTTAACAACAGAAGTGTTTATCGATCCCATCGTAGCGTCAAACATTCCAAGATTGAAGAAGATGCGCCTGAGAGGGTGTGTTGTGTTATGAATTGCCATATTTTCACATTTTCACATCTTATCATATCTTATCGGGAGCCTTGTCTTATCAACCAACGGACCGTTTCATCATCTGTTTCGTCACCGATCATACCCCTTTTCATTACCGAAGCCGTACTCATGTCGGACACACGTCCAACACATGGATGACATCATACATGCCGATACCTCATGGACTCCCTATTGTATACACACCGCCGACACTCGTAGCACACATGGTCGTTTCAGTATTATTACTTACATGCAGTCACCACTCGTATTTAATGGTTTCACGGACTAGTAGCATACAACACTGGGTCAAGGGCGTGGAGCATCCCTAGTGGAAACGCGTATGGACAAGGAGCTTCAAACACAGACTTACTAGTATATAAGCAGTAGTGTAGTATCATTGTACTTTAGTTCCGATCTCGTTTATACACCTGGCCTAGCCTAGTCTTACGAACACGAACACTTTCTCTTAGTTCTTGCTGTGGTACCTGGTTGAGTCTCGTGGCTTAGTCAGTCGCTAACAGAAGATCAGAACTACTTTCTACCACCTACCACACATCCCTGATCGTCGATCAGCACTTCGCTGTTTGATCATCGCACATTCCCCATCCCCTTTCCTGTTTACAGATCGACGGATTCCTAATCCCAGCGCACGTCCGCATACATGTGTATTGGTCCCAGTAGCGCCGGCTAACAGTTAGAGATAACTGCCTCGGGTGCTGGAAGTAGCCGCTCTCACGAGAACGAACTTTTGGCAGTTGCACTTCAGTGGGCGCTGTTTACGGGTCAACCCCCGTTCCCAGGAAAACTTCGGCTTACCTCACACCAGAGGGACGTCGGCTGGGCAATTGCGAACTTGTGACGAGCTCTTGGGCTCCGTAGATACGTAGTCAGTAGTCGGTAAAATAGGTAGACAGTTACGATACCTACCTACTTTACTTACCTTACGATACACATCATCATTCCCCACCCTACCAAGTCCTGGATTCTATTTCAGATCTAGGCGATCCCTCCTATTCATCCAAACCTCTATTCCCTCACCCGTTTCATCCAAATCCGCATCACCCATATCCCCACTTTCACCCTTTCACTCTCCGATCCCATCACCCCGATCCATCATGTCCAACGAAGCACCCGAAACCGCTCATCACACACCCGCTCATCACGCCAATGACGAAACCAAAGGCCGATCCCTTGTCAACAAGCCTTATGACTATGACGGGGACAAGTCCAAGTACAAGAGCTGGTGGCGATCGATGTTCACATACATCCGTGACAAGAAGAACAACCTCACATCTGACTCCGAAAGGATCGATGTTGTTCTCTCCTACATCCGAGGAGATCACGTAGATGCATGGGTCCAGAACTACTCGGACCAGAACTTCGACGAGGAGAAGAGGAATGGACAGTCTCTTGGACGGAGTTCAAGGAGACTTGAAGGAGCGATTTGTGGATTCCAACCTCGCGCGAGATGCGCAAGATCAGATCGAACGGTTGCGCCAGGGGCAAGACACCGCTCAAGATTTCTTCCAGAAGTTCGAGGTCCTGCTTACTCAGGCGGAATACTCGAAGGATGACGCATTTGTCGTGCGACTTCTCGAGACCAATGTCAACGAGAAGATCATCGACCAGATCTATGGCAGCCGAGACGGGTTGCCAGAGAAGTACAAGGATTGGAAGGCACAGATCATTCAGATCGATCAGCTGTGGAGAAGGCGGGCGGCGAGCAAGAGGTCCGGCATGCAGTCCGGCCCCAAGCTCCGCAGGCGGCTACATCGAGAGCAATCCTACGAATCCACCCCCGACGCCGATCACACGACGAGATGCACCGGTGTTACCTATGGAGGAGCCGGCAGGCCGATGGACATCGACAACGCACGTCGAAGAGGACTTTGCTTCAGCTGTGGCGAACACGGCCACGTCAGCAGGTTCTGTCCGAAGAAGGGTCGACCCCAGACGATTCGGGGTTTATGGACCGAAATGAATGACGAGGAGAAGAAGAAGCTGGCCGAAGAGTTGGGTTTTGCGAAGCTCCCGCAGTAGACGCAGTCCTGCCGGAGCAGTCATCAAGGAAAGGGTCGTCAGATGCAGAATCTATTTACAGTACGGGTACTGAAACATCTAAAATATCATCGACGACTTTACCACCAAAACCTGCGAAAGAAAGATTTGAGCCAAATACGCCCGAGTGGATCGCACAACGGCTAAGAGAGGATGACGTGTCGAGAGCAGTGGGAATTTTGAGAGCATGGATGCCGGAGCGGAGAGAGAGAGAAGCGACGGAGGAGAAGGTGATGGCGATCAGAGCGTTGACAAAGGAAGCTGCGGTGGAAGTTGTGACGGAGTTGAAAAAGTCGAGGAAGTACATCCGGGGAACAAAGGGGCAGGACATGAAACTCCGAGTAACCATAGAGAGCGTACACACAGGCTCTGAATGGGAAACGAGTGCCCTTCTTGACAGTGGAGCAACGGGTTCTTGTGTCAATAAAGAATTCGTCGAGAAGAACGGACTCCCGATCAAGGAGTTACCGGTCAAGCTCCCTGTCTACAATGCGGATGGAACCCTAAACGAGGGAGGAGCAATCGAAGGTTTTGTGGAGGTCCGGATGAAGATCGGAGATCACGCCGAAAAGATTGAGTTGGCCGTCACCAATCTCGGCAAAACAAGTATCTTTTTGGGGCTAGATTGGCTACGATATCACAACCCCACGATCAACTGGACGGAATCCACATTGACTTTGATCGATGCCCAGACCGCTGCGGCTATCTACCCGAGTACGACTCGCCGGAAGATGAAGGAGAAGACGTAGAAGAGAAGTTGGAAGAGGGAGAGCGTTTGTTCTGGATGGACTGGGACAACTATCGCAAAAGCGGTGAAAAGCTGAGATCACAACAGCCTTCATCCGCTGCTGCACCTTACATTGAGGAATTTCCGATGTATTAGCAAGGCGGACTTTGACAAGTTACCGGAGCGAAGACCCTGGGATCACGCGATAGAACTTACGCCTGGTTCCAAACCGGTTGACTGCAAGGTTATCCCCTTAGCCCATCCGAGCAGAAGGCGTTAGATGAGTTCTGGAAGAAAACATACGGACGGGACGTATACGGCCATCAATTTCACCTATGGCATCACCCTTCTTCTTTGTCAAGAAGAAGGACGGAAGCCTTCGGCCAGTACAGGATTATCGGAAGTTGAACGACATGACAATCAAGAACCGATACCCCTTGCCGTTGATTCAGGAGCTTATCGACAAGTTGAAGGGAGCAAAGGTTTTCACAAAGATGGATGTCCGATGGGGTTACAATAACATCCGGATCAAAGAAGGTGATGAGTGGAAAGCGGCGTTTAGAACAAACCGAGGCCTGTTCGAGCCCTCAGTCATGTTCTTCGGACTTACAAACTCGCCGGCAACGTTCCAATCGTTCATGAATCACATTCTGAAGGAGTTGATTGA